CCACTTTCCTTTTCTTTCTGACGTGAATGGTGGCATATGCTGGCTGTACGGTCTTGTGCGTTTCACTTAACTGAAGTGCAGACATTCTGCATTTACCAACCGAGCTTCCATTCCTGGGACGAGATCATTAAATGGCTTGGTCGCTAAACGGAGGATTATATATAGTGTGAACATCATGACATTCAGAAGTTGGTCAGAGGAAACGCCAGCCCGACGCCTGGGCTCTTATTTGCATGACTCTTAGTGCTCTGCTGCGCAGTACTGTGATGTATATGAGAACATAAAACTGTTACAGTACAATCAGGAAAATTACTGTACTGGACGATAAAATGCAATCAGTAATCTTACCAGTTCTCACCCTCCCCCAAGCCATTTTCTGCCTTTCTGGAATGTTTACATCATTATGCAAAACTGTCATATTTTCATTTTTTAAAAAACAGTGCCTGTCCCTGTTAAGACTGATTTGTCTGTGTCAAGCAGATGCGCTGACAGTTAGATCTGACACCTAGGGAGTCACTGGGGTGGGGTTGGGGTGACGCGCTGATTGGAAAGGAGGCAGGACGGTGAGCTCTGCACTTGAGGTGTGTAATTCAGGAAGGAAGAAAACGGGGAGCAGGAGCAGGAGGAGTCCTGCAGCTCTGGGTCCTGTGTAGATGGGGCCTCCTTCTAGGCGGTGACAAGGGAAGAGAAGGGACACCACTTGTTGGGTCTGCAGAGACCCCGGAAGGGGTCAGTCAGGTGCTGTACAGCCCCTCGGTCCTCGTGAAGCTCTGATGAGGTTGAGGAGCCCCACAGTGTGCCTCCAGCGCGTCCCCTGGCATGTAGAGAACACACTCCTGGAGCTCAGCAGGAACCCCCAGTATTGGATGGGCCTTGAAGGTTCTCGGCCTGGGGCGCCCTTCCGTTCCATTCCTGGGCCTTTGCTGGACCCCACAGTGCGCCCCAGCCTCCCCAGCAGACCACCCCAGATGGCCGCTTCTTGAGGCTGAGGACATCATGGAGAGGATTTCCAGAGGTTGCGATTCAGAAGAGAAAGCTACTGGGTGCCTGCAGCTGGAGGGGGCACCCATAGTAGGACAGGAGCCCCCTGCAGGGAGGGAGGACCCCACAGACAAGGGCAGCATCTGCCGCACAGGGACCGTGCTGGGGCTGTGTCCTCTGCTCCGGGTGGGCATACGTGGCTCCTGTGTACCAGCTCATCTTGGAGGAAGAGCTCTGAGGCTGGGGACAGGGCAGTGGGCCAAGAAGCTGCCTTAAGGACAGTGGTGGCCAGGCCATGAAAAGGGTGTCTGGGAGGAGGACATTTGTGCATGTTTTGGTCATCCGTCCATTCCTTCATCTGCAGAGCACATAGTCACTGACTTCCTCTGTGTCATTGAGTCACAGCGGGAGATGACAAGGGTCCTGGGCCTCTAGCATGCGGTCCAGCAGAAGGAAGACCCAGAGTGCCTGGAAGGAACTGGTGCAGAGATGGGGTGCATGCGGGCTGGGTGGTTGGGCAGCCCTGGCGGGAGCCAGCCCTGAACACAGAACACAGTAGATGGCAAGGAGAGCAGGGCCGGAGGCTGGGGTGGGCAAGGGAGGAGAAGCAGCGGCGAGGCCGGGGAGGCAGACAGAGCCAGCTCACAGGGCCGGCCCCGGTAAGCAAAGCCTTTTCTCCCAGGTGGCAGAAGTTGTGGAGTTTGCAGGCAGACTGTGACATGATCAGAGTTGGTGTTTTAAAAGGTCCCTTGGGCTTCTGAATATGCTCCAAGGCAGCCCAGGTGCCAGGAAGTGGCACATGCCAGCATGTGAGTGGCACCTAAAGAGGATGTGCCAAATTCCTCAATTGCTTGAACAGTAGACGACTAAAAAGGCACACCTGAATGTGGCTCGGGCTGTCTCATAGTCATAAAGGACGTTAGTGACCAGTGTCTTGGTGTAATGCCCTGAAGTGTCTGTACGGGTTATTCTCAGTTCTGCCAGGCCTTGTTGCCCTCGCGGGCTTCAGCCCAGGCCTATGAGATGACAGACACCTGTCACCATGACAGCCAGCAAAGTGCATTGCTCTTGCCTGACACAGCCTACTGCGGAGATCTGGGTGGCGGTGGCGGGGGCGGTGCTGTTACAGAATCTGTCCCTTCAGCTGGTGCAGGGCTCACTGCCCTAGGCTGATACTTGCTAGTGAGTGCCATGCTTACTTATGTTTTTTATTTTTTTAAAAACTATTTATTTGATATGGGGTCTCGCTATGAAGTTCCTCCTGTCTCAGCCTCTCCAGAGCTGGGATTACGGGCATACAGCATAGCGCGCAATACTGGGGATCGAACTCGGGACCTTGCACTTGCCAGGCAGGCGCTTAGACCGCCAAGCTATCTCCCCAGCCCACATTTTTTACTCGTGATTCTTTCACATGTGTCTGTGGCTGTGGCATTGTGTAACTAGACCTCGGCCCCATGACGAGCTCCGAGTTTGCCTGGGCTCCAGCTGTGGGTGGCTGTAAAGGATGCTGGCGTCTCCCTGGACCACCATGTAAAACAGAGTGCTTGCTGCTGCTGCTTCGCGCCCGTCCTAGGTTTGGTTGCCTTTTCCCCTGGCCTCAGCCGGCTCCCCTTACTCTGAAGGGCTGTGGTGGTGGGTGGGACCCATGGGGAGGCTTTTGTTACCTGTAAAGAACCAGGCGAGGCTCACACCGCTCAGGCAGCCTCTCAGAGTGAAGTGGGTGCTGTTCCGTCTCGTTTGAATATCCTGAATAAGCACTTGAGAAGGCGACTTGAGCGCCTTTTGTATGTCGAGTGCTTTGATGCACCACTTGGACTGGGAAAAGGGACAGTGGACAAGAACACTCAGATATTAATAGAGCAGCAGAATGTCGTGCCTGGTCTGGTAAGTGATGTATGATGTAATTCCAGGAATGACCTTGAGGTGGGCGTTCGAAAGCTCCATTCATTTTTGTTTTCAAAGGCAGAGACCAAAATCAAATAAAGGATTTTGACTGAACATCAAGGCCAAAGCTGACTCCCTGGGTCTGTGGGAGGGCAGAGGGCTGCAGGCAGTGTCTGGAAGATGCGGAGCCAGCAGAGGAGAAGTGGGCAGGGCCGGCCCTGAGGGCGGGGCCAGCTGGCGTAGCCCTGGGAACCCGGAGAAGGACGGGCCTGGCACCCAGGGTTGACCTCGCTCCGCTGAGGGTGCAGCAGCAGAAGACCCCCGTGGGCCTCTCTTGTTGGGAGGCCATTCCAGAAGCGGGTGCGGGACTCCTGCCGCAGAGCTCTGTGGCTGCAGCATCCCCTAAGGTGGACTGGGGCAGAGCGGGTACCACACTCCCAGATACCCACAGTTCTGCTGCCTGCACACAGGCACACGAATCCCCTGGCAGCTCAGTCTCCCTCCTGAGAGTGTGCAGCCCATGTGGCCGACCCACGCCATCGCCTGCCACGCTTGAGAGCCCCCATTTCGCTGTCTCCTCCCAGCACAGGACAGTGAGGTCCAGGCTGTGGAAACCACTCCCACAGATAGGCCAAGTGATGCAGCCCTGCAGCTCCTCATCCCTATCATGAGGAGCATCACCTAAGACCCTGCAGGCGGGGCTGTGCACCCCCTATGTTCCTGGATGCCTTCATAAGTCTACTTCAGGTGTAGGTGTGCCGGGAGGAGGGCTTTTAGGGAGGTAGTGAAGTTAAATGGGATCCTGTGGGTGTCCTTTCCAACATGACTGGGGCCCTTGCCATAGGAGGAGGTGAAGACAAACCCAGGTGGGGGGTGGCACATAGGAACACGGGGAAGAGACTGTGTCCACAAGCCAAGGATGGGGCTTGGGCAGGAACCAGCTCGGCCTGCACCTTGAACAAAGCTCAGACTTCTAGTCCCCAGGTCTGTGAGAACAAATCACTGCTGGCCGGGTCACCAGTCCGACTTGTCATGCAACCCGTGCTGACTGCAGGTCCTTCCCTGTCCCCATCCCAGCGACGAGACCACCTTCTGTGGGCAGGGTGGGCTGGTGGCTGGGCTCCCTGTGACCCACCCTCCATGCTTCCCCAGGGCCCATGTCTGCCCTGTCCGTGCTTGCTGGGCCCCGAGCCCTGCTTGCTCTGTACTTTTTTTTTTTTTAATATGAGCAGAATATATTTACTGGGGGAAAGAAAGTTCCTGTCTGAGAGAGGGACAGGAACGGGGCCCCGAATGGGTTGTCCCCCATCTCTGTACTTTCCGAGCAGTTGTGTAGATCCCTACACAGCCCAGAACTGCTGGAGACAGGTGGGGATGGGGGCCATTTCCACTGCCTGCAAGCCCCGATTGTTCCTTCACAGTCCTCTGCCCATCCTGCTCCTTTTTTTTTTTTTTTAAATAGGGTCTCAATGTGCGGTTCAGGCTGGCCTTGAAGTTGAAGCAATCCTCCTGCCTCAGCCTCCCAAGTGCTGGGATTATAGACAAGTGCCATCATGCACGGCCACCCTGATCTTAGCCTGTTCACACCCCCTCTGTGGCCATCGCCCGCCCCCACCCTGTCCCTGGAGTGTAATCCCCTGCCCACACCTGCCTAGCACCTAGGACAGTGCCTGTCCTGCAGCAGGTGTTCAGTAACTGTTCAGCAGGCACATGAATGAATGCATGTTGTGCTGAGCCCTGCAGGCATTGTGCGGGATCCCCTCCCCCTGCAGGGGACACCAGAGCTGCTTGTCCTGCCTGGGAGAGGGGAGGGCGCAAGGAGAGAATGTTGGTGTCCCCAGGGCCTCCAGAGAGGAAGCTTTAGAGCTTCGGGTGGGCATCCTGTGCAGTGTAGAAGCCCACAGTGCCCGGCCTGGACTCAAGGCGCTCTGTAGTATCCTGACGGGGTGCTGTGGCTGGCAGCGGCCAGGCCCTGAGCAGAGGACACTGCAGTCGCCCTCCCTGGGAACTGTGCTGCGATGCTCTGTGCTGTGGCTTTTTTTGTGTAGCCAATAAGAGATCTGCCAGGAAGCCCCCTTGTCTTGGAATTCAAAGACAGCGGGGTCATCCAGGGGTCTTCCTGCTGGGCTGCCCTTAGTAGGTTAGTGGGTGCCGCCCAGCGTTTCGAGGTCACCTGCCTGTCCCTCGCAGCCCTGTTAGCCCCCGGGGGAAATGGAAGGCACGCGGGCTGCGCCTGGGCCTGTCTCCGTAATTGGATCTGAACGCAGGTGACAGTTCTTGCCAGCTCCTTCAGATTGCTTCCTGCTTGCTCTGGAATCACAGTCTCGAGTTCTGCAGATTTCTAATCAAATGTCTTCTCGTGGTGTCAAAATGCTAGCGAAATGGGAGTTTGAGTCCTGGTGTGTCGGGAGGCAGAGGGGGCTTTTTGAGGCCTTTTTATTATCCTTATCAAGTGCCTCTCCCTCCTAGGGACCCACGGAACACCCTTCCCGGCCTGTTGGGGCCACACCTGCACGGGAAGGACGTTCCCCTCGTGTGTGCACAGCGCGTTCCCATGCAGACTGCTGCTGTACCCTTTGTGCTGTGCTCCCTGTCCTGGAGCTATTTTTGCAATAATAAGACTGATCTTGAAGTCCAGGGGTTCCTAGCCTGGTGACCTGCCTGCCCTGGGGACCCCACCCAGGTGGCAGCCAGGCAGCTCCAGGGGCTGCCGTTTCCTCTGACACTCTGACTCCGGCTCTGTCCTTGCAGAAAAACTGGCAGACCGCAAGCTGGATGTGGCCGAGGTGACCCAGTCTGAGATAGGGCAGAGGCAGAAGCTGCAGACGGTTCTGGAAACTGTGCACGACCTGCTGCGGCCGCATGGCTGGGCGCTGCGGTGGAACGTGGACTGTGAGTGCCCCCAGGGAGGGGACCCGCAGGAGCCCATCCTCTCGTCACTGCATGTGGCCTTGCATCTAAAAACTGGCTCCTCCGGCTGTTCGCATAGTGTAGACTCTGGGCCCAGGCTGCTGGGTGGCCGACCTCACGCTGAAGAACCGTCCTGTGCTCTCCCTGCTTCAAGCACAGGCATCGATGCTAATGGGCTCCCATCGGGGAGGCTAAGGACCTGACTCCAGCCACCCCTAGTGCTGATGCTAAGCGGGCTGCTTTCCTGGCGACCCCAGAGCAGGCCCCCAGAGGCCCATGGTAGCCTGGCCATACGTCAGAGTGGGCTGTGTTTAGGACTGCATGACATCCCTGTGTTCCCCGCACAGACATGAGCTGGCCAAGAGGCTGCACAGTGGTCCTGGTCCTGTCCTCCTCTTCCTCCTCCCTGCAGGGCAGGGGGGTCTTGGACAGAGCCAGCCCACCTCGCATTCACAGGGTGAGGGGAGCAGTGCCTTCCAAACCGTGAGGCCTCGCGCAGAGTGACTCTGATGAGCCTTGGGTGTACCCAGGGAGGCAAGCAGAAGTGTGCCGGGCAGCCCGGGAGGCTCAGGCAGGGTGGAGTCAGCGTCAGGTATCCCCAGGACAGCGCCTGCCCTTCCACGGGGGTGCTGCCTGGGAAGAAGGGAAGTTGTTCAGTAGCAAAAGTAATAATGTTGCACACAATAGACAGAACTACGTGGCTGCGGCCTGTCCTCCCCACACCTCCCTTTCACTGTTTTTATAAACATGATGCTTGGGGCTGGAGAGATGGCTTAGTGGTCTAAAGCACCTACTTGGAACAAGCTTGGCAAAGCACAGGGACCACGGTTTGATCCTCCAGCACCACATGCCAGCCAGCCGCGCCCCCTGGTGGGCTGAGCTGGCCACACACAGACACACAGACACACACATACACATACACACACACACAACACACACACACACACAATAAATAAATGTTATAAACATGATGCTTTTAAAAAGGGCTTGGACACCAAGCTTTCCAAGTCACCTTCAGCCAAAACAAAGCAAAAACCACAAACTAGGAATGAGTTCACCGGGGATGTGGGTTCGCTCTTCGCTTTTCCGCGCTCCTTGCCTCTGGGTCCCCTCGATCTCGCTGAGCCTGGGCCTCTTGGACACGGGCCCAGGTTCTAACAGAGGCCTCCTCCTCCTCTTCCATCCCGGCCAGCCATCCACAGCAAGAACCTGGTGGCCATCATCCACCTGCTGGTCTCGTTGGCCATGCACTTCCATGCCCCGATCCGCCTCCCGGAGCACGTGTCCGTGCAGGTGGTGGTCGTCCGGGTGAGTAGGCACTCTCCGCCCCGAGCAGCGGGGCTCCCTCCTCCTGGAAGCTTCCAGCATTTCTCTCTTTTTCCTCCCAAGAGGCTACTTTCCATTTTCCCCTCTTAACAAAATGCGTGTCTCACCCCGGCTTGGAGATAAATGATTGGAGCAGAAACAATGGCGCTGATTTGGAGAGAGGCAGAACCAGAGGCATGAGAGTGTTAAGGTTTAATTTTCCAGAATTTTGAAAAGAACATTCATTTCTCTCCGGAGCCAACGAGTCGGAATCCAATCCCCTTGAATGTGCTTATTACTCACTGGAGGAGGTTGAGACCAGTGCTATGAAATAGATACCCAAATTAAAGGCTCTTGTGTTTGCTGAGTATTAGAGCCATCACTCCCATTATCTTTTTTTCTTTTAGGATTCATTTCTCTTTATTCACTGGGGGGAGTGGAGCCAGGGCCCAGGTTCTTGTGTCGAGGTGGATCAACCTCTTCTTTTGTTTCCTTTAGCCTGTAGGAGCGCTGAGTGTGCGGCCACATAAGCATATATTAAGCACCCGCTGCGTACGTACCGTACCTCGTGTTCTGGGCCGCTGGGGATGCTAAATGGGGAAAACACACCCGGTGCAGCTGCTTCTGCCACAGAGTTGAGCTGTGCCCAGAACCCGGATGTCCCGGGTGTGTGTGTTACTTGAGACCTCCGGCTCCATGCCGCTGTCTGGGTTTTCAGCTTATCAGTCCCGTGGTCTCCGCGGTCCATGGGGATCTGACTGAGCCAGTGTTTTCCAAAGCCATCCTGACCCCTGTGTTACCCCAGGAAATGTCCTTGCTGGCCTCTGGCATAGGTCACCTGCCACCTCTCTCCATTTCCTTCCTGGCAAGGATGTTTGTGGTCGGCAGGAGTGACGTGGGCCCCCGGGGGCAGGGGGGAGTCCATTCCTGCGGTCCCTCATCTTGGACGTGTGCTTGCTGCAGGCAGCCAGCTGGGGGAGGCTGCCCAAGCACCTACGTCAGCCTCGGGGTCCGGGAGCCCCTTGTGGTTTGGGGTCCTGGGTGTCTCCTTTCAGGCGTGCACTTCTGTCCAAGAGAATCATTCGGATTTTCGGAAAGTCTGAGCGACCCAAGCAAGCACTTGCTGGCGCCCTCTGTGCCGACCAGGGTCGCAGGATTCTTTGGGGCATGCCTAAGGTGGAGGAAATGGGAGAAAAAGGAGAGGAGTCCAAGGGGCTAGCCGAGCCGACCTTCCCGGGTCTCCGCAACCCTGGGCTTGCTCTGGTGACTGGTTATGCAACCTGAGACACCAGGCAGGTGGCATTTCCTGTGTGGACAGACCCATCCAGGACCTCATCTGTCCTTTGAGATGCAGAGACTTCCCTGCCGAGCTGAGATCACGCTACAAACCTTTAACTCTCTTTAACTCTTCAGCTTCCTGACTCCCTTGCGAGCTGGTGTCCTGGGCCTTTCTTGTCCCTAGACCCAGGCCTGATGAGGTCATTAGCAAGCAAACAGTGCCCGGTCATGGTTACTTCTGTGAACCGGCCCTTGGCTCCCTGGTGGCTGCTTGGGACAGGGAGGGCAGCTCCGACCATGGGTGGTGTCTGTGGGAGCCATCTCTCCAGGGCTGCAGTAGAGGCCTGCAGTTGGGATGGTGGGATTCACCCCTCTGTCACCCTGCTCCCCGCCTCTCTGCGCTCCCGTGCGCCTGCCTGGCCCTGCAGAAGTGCGCCATGTGTCCCCGTGAGCCTCCCGGGCTGCAGAGCCTGTGTCCCAGCTGTGGGCTCAGGGAGCAGATCGCTTCTCTCACACTTGGGGCCAGAGGTCTAAAATGAAGGTGCCTGCAGGGCCACACGCCCTCCTCCTGTCCTCTCCAGCCTCTCGCTGTGCCTCTGGGTCTCTTTCCTCTCCTAAAGCCATCCTTCATCCTGGTTCAGGGGCGCCATAATCCAGAGTGGCCTCTTCCTCACTGGCGTCTGCAGACTTCTTTCCAAGGAAGATTGCATGTGGAGGCTCTGGGTGGATGTGAGCTTCAGGGACTCGACCGAGGGCACGGCACATGCCTTATCTCACTGAGTGTCCCCTGGTCTTCACCCTTCTCAGCTGCATAAAGCAGCAGGAGCCTGAGCCAGCCTGGGCCTAGCTCAGCACCTGGCACTTGGGACAGTGTGGGACAGAGGTTGGGGGGCCCAGGATACAGCTGCCCAAAGGGGTCCCTGTGGTCACTGCAGGGCACCTGCGCGAGCAAGTCTAAGTGGCCTCCTGCCCTGGGTGACTGCATATGGCTCCTGCCACCCTGCCCACCCCCCTCCTCTCCTCCCTCTGCCTGTGCAGTTCTTGGGTGTTGATTTGTGTATTTTGGAGTTTTCAGAAGCGGGAAGGCCTATTGCACTCCAGCCATGTCTCTGAGGAGCTGACCACGACTACAGAGTAAGTGGCCTCGCCAACTGCCCTCTGCCCACCCCTGACTTCCGCCCTGAGCAGGACTCTGGGTCTCAGGATGCGCCGTCCACAGACTTCTGCCTGGCTTCCCCTCCGGCCCACTTGGAGAATGGGGTTGCCTTGCAAAGCCTTGGGTGTTTTCTCCCTTGCTTGGGTTGGAAGCGCTGAGAACTCGGCTGGGGTGGTGGGTGTTGCTTCAGCGTAGTCACCTAAACCTGTCACCCACATCAGCCCCCTCAGAGCGAGGAGCCGCACACCTGTACCTGAGCTCTGGTGGCTGATGTTGCCAAGCCTTCTCTGTCTCCTCCTGAAAGCTGGACGTGGGTGGGCTCTTCAGAGTCTAAAAGGCTTCGACCCATTGGACACAACAAATCAAATAGTACATGTGGCGCGTGGCTTTTAGGAGCCCTTGGATACCCAGCTCGGGATCTTTAAAATCTACCAGGTTTCTGCTTGTTGCCTGGGCCTGATTCACATGAAGTGGTGGTGACAGAACGGGTGGTCCCAGCTTGCCCACCCACTCGGTCACTGTGCTGTGAGCTCACACTCGGTCTCCAGACGGGTCCTTATGCATGTGCTGTCACGGAGGCACAGGAGACGCCCGTGTGTGGCCCCCCAGCGTGCCCCGGGGGGAAGGGACTGGCTGAGAGAGCGGGGGAGGGAGGTGGGATTTGGGTACATTCATGGGATGTCGGGGGAGGGGGGGAGTTGGGGCGTGAGGAGTCCCAGGAGGCTGCCTCAGCCAGGTGCCAGGAGCCCCTAGTCCCAAGGGAGGATCCCAGCCCCTGGGCAGCTGCCTAGCGAGGCGGCCCTGGGTTCCCGAGAAGCCACTGTCAGCTCTGCAGGCTGATGCCTGGGTGTCACCCCTCCCGCCCCTCACCCTCCCGGGCCCTGGTGCAGCGGATGGCCAGCCCCATCCTCCCACCTGCCTTGGGTACTCCTCGCCCACATCTGCTTCCTGGTGGGCATCCTGTGGGACCTGGGCGCCTTGAGTTCCTTAAGGCCGTGTCACCCCTACCTCCCATCTGGTCCTAGCACTTCTGGTTCCTCTTCCTAGAGGTGGACATGAGGTCACCCCCCACCACGTGGTCCTCCTAACTTCCTTCCAGTGCCCAGAGTATCGCACACGCATCCTCCCTCTGGGTGGATGCCTGGCCCCTCTGCTCTCCCTGGCGTCCCCAGGGCCAGGCAGGGGTATCGATCTCTAGGTGGTGTTAGCTTAGTGTGCCTGCACATAGTAGGTGCTCCTGGGAATGTTTATTGATTAAAGTGGAGCCAAAGGCCTTGCACCTGGAGGGACTAGAGGAGAAGCAGCCCCTAGGCAGGGACTGTGTGGCCCCAGTGGGTGTCATCGTCCTCCCCGTGGGTTGTGGACCTTTACTGTCATGATCCCTGAAAGTGCATTGTGTGTGCACACGGCCCTGGCACATGGCTACATGAAGGGAGGGCAATCTGCGGCTGGGATGGTGCCAGTTACCTGCACGTGGGCGGAACAGAATGTGGCAGACTGTGGCTCTGTCCTTTGCAGTTGCGCTTCACCTGGCAGGCAGGGCAGCTTCCTCTGGTTGCCCTGCCCCACCTGTCACGCTGCACAGTGCCCAGTCCTGATCTCTCTCTCTCTCTCTCTCCCTCCCTCCCTTCCTCCCTCCCTCCCTTCCCCACCCCCCTCTGCCTCTCCCTGTCTGCAGAATGATGATGGGCCGCTTTGGTAAGTAACCTGCCTGGGATGATGTGGGTGGAGGGAGTCTGAGGTCCCTGGCACCCTAGGGTGTCCCAGAAGCTCCCAGGGTCACCTGGTCAGGCAGAGGGACCCAGACCCATGGGCTTCCCGGCCCCCATCTCAGAGTCAGGAGGGGTAGAGGATGGTGGAGGGAGGGAGGGGTCTTCTGGTGTGGGGAGCTGGCTGAGGATGGAGGGGTGGAGGAGGAAGTCGGCCACAAGGACTGGAATC